GTAGAAGCCCACATCCCCAAAGAAGTAAAAGTGTACATATGAAATGTGGGAGCAGTAAATATATCAAGTCTCACTAAAAATGACCTATTGAGTAATAAATACCTGAAAAATACCTGACCCCTCTCCCAAAATAGCGCTGCAAACTAATAAAATGAAGAACAGCATTTTAAACTCAATTAATCTCCCAGTGTTTTATAATGTATATGGAGTGAAATATTATAAGTATTTTTGACTGGAACACAAATGTTATTTTAATGATCACATTCTTTTTCCCCTAACATTTGGAGAAAGAATGGAAAGGTAGAGATTGGCTCAGGTGATAATGAAGAGAGAGTTCATAGACTGTTTATATTCTGGGAGAATACAAGCATGATTCTAATTAAAACAAGAGAATATAACTCACCTTCTCACTGTTTCTCTCAAATGTTGACTTTGTATATGAGCAAAACATGAGCAAATAAGTGGAAATAATTAAATGAGTCTAAGCATCTCTGTCATAATCAGAGAACAGGGTACAAGAAAGAAAAGCATCCAGCATATTCCAGTTCCTGTTTTTATGTACAGATCTGGGTTTCTGGCAAAACTGAGAAAGTAAAGCAAGAAAATGGATAGAGTTTTCTGATGTGTTTGTTTTAAGAATAAGATGTTACAAGCAAGAAAAATAAAACATATCAGAAGATTGAGCTGTCCTTTCAAATTTCCCCATCCACTTAAGCTTTATGCAGAAATACCCTCCTGCAATTGTGTTTTTCATCTGTGAGAATGCACAATTCAGAGCCTATCACAGGAAAACAGAAAGACACATTACAAAATGACATAAAAAGAATTGAATGGAACCCATATAAAAATTACTTGAATCACTTTTGAGGACACTGAAATCATGTTGCTGAAAGTTTTTAAAACATGTAGCAGTATTTCCTTGAAACAAGATTCCCATGCAGGAACCTGGGGTAATTCAGAATTACATTACAGCTCTATTCATCCCTGACCTACAACTTTCAGATTTATTAAGCTTGAAAACACCTTTGACCCTAAATCAAAAATGATTTTACAAAACGTGATTGAGGGAACAAAACTGACTGCCATAGTACTAGATTGGCCTGAGAAATCAGAGCTGGTTTCTGTGGGACCAGGGCGAGATTTAATCATGGGGTTCTGAGGGGTCCTAAGCAAATATAAGAAATGGAAAATAGTTAAAAATAAATGAACTATATGAATTACCTATTTCTCTTCCATATGATAGTGTGCTTATGTTTATATTAAATGGTCTATTGTATGTAGACTCCTTTCAGTGCAATTTGAAGAATTTTTAAAAATAGAGTAAGAGGAATAAAAGTTTTAAAAGTCAATCTCTGGGATAGAGATGGAATTTGACTCTAATCTATCACTTAAGATAGATAACCCACTTTAGTAGGTTATTTCATGCTTCTAAGCATCTGACTCCTCTTTCAAAAAGAGCACAAAAGCAGTACCTCATGGAGTTGGGAGGCTTGAGTGAGGGATCACATGGAAACTGCTTAATACAGAAAATGGCTTACCTATTAGTATTCTGTAAACACCTGCTGTGTCATGAACTTGCACCTCTTTCTCTTTTGTGAATAATGAGAGAATATCAATTGCTTACCTCTTTTAAAATGTCCCTGCAATATTTTGACCTGCTTATTAAGTGTCACTTAGCAATGCTTTCTACTGAGAACTTCTAGAACAATGCAAAAAAAATATTAATTTTGATAGTAAAACTGGATTTCAGAAAAGCCACAGGTAAATGTTGGCAGTAACAGCAACAATGACGGTTATTTTATTTTAAAAAAATACTTATTTGGCAATGGCTGCATCCTAACAACTGTCATGCATTATTTCTTTATCACAACCACTCCCAGAGGAATCTGATGGTCAGAGTCATAATATTCTAGTTGCCCCTTTGAAGCCCTGGCACAGGATCAGGGAATAAGAAGTCAGCTCCTGCTAGTTGAGGATGTGAATTGATGTGTATGTCTCATTCACAGATTGGAAATTGGAAACAGCACCTGAACTCCAATGGCAAGCGCACTACAGCCACGGACACCAGTGGAAAGTCTGTAAACCTTCACATTTAAATTGTGAAGGTATCACACCTGGGAGCTTTGGAGCCAAATGACAATCCTTCCATAACATAAAGTGCATTTCTACAAACGCAAAACTATAAATGTTTAAGTTCCTTGGTCAAACCTGGGACAGACGGCTTTGCACTTCCAGTTTCATTTTTGTCTGTTTTCCTAGAACTTGCTCACTGAGCAAATCAAAACTAAAACTCTTTCATTGTTAGATTTCTATTCTTTCTAACCTTGTGAAATAAAAGTAATTGTAGATTTGTTACTTAAAAGTATTTCTATTCTGTATATAAAACTCAGTGATACACCACAATTTTTAATTATTCCCTCATGTCTTCAACCCTTGCAATCATTCTTTGTTACATACCTGAGAAAATCGTGACCTAGAGATCAGTTTTTCAGTATTTGAGTCACGTCATAAATGTAATCAATTTGTGTCACCTACAAACTAAGGTAATCATTTTTATGCAAAGATGCAATTTTTTTTAAATTTTTGAATGCATTTACTGATTTGTATTTTTTAAAATAAAAATATAAATAATAAATATAAAATAAAAATTAATAGATTGATAGTTAAACAAATAAACATCTGAAAGTGGTACATTAACCAAATCTTTCAAAGGTTTACAAATACAGCCATTTGTATTTCCTTCAGGTTAAAACTTGGCATTCAGAGTTGATGGTGGAGATGCAAATTGCTTTTCCAAACAGCTGTTTATATTGGTGAAGCTGCATCGTACATGTAAAGCAGTGTGTGTGTGGAGGGGGGTTAAAAAAAAAACATTTTCTCAGTCTTCTCATGATTTTTTTAATCTATTCTGTGCAAAAATATTGCTTACTATTTATTGCTGAAATGAAGGAACCTAAGGATTCTCAGTCTGAAGTTTTAAATTTAGCAAGTATTTCAACTACTTGCAAAATAATCACTTCGAGAACTTTATATGTACTAAAAACAATTGAGCCCCTTCCACTTAAGCACGGAAATTCTCCCAAGAGCCATGGAGCCAAAAAAGCTCAATAGAAACCATATCATGACAATTGTTTTTTATCATATATAAATAAACTAAAAACATACCATTTTCCTTCTATTGGTCAAGAAGCTGCAATAATCATTTATTCCTAATAATTTTGATTTTACTAAAATATTTCAAAGGTGATTGACAAACCTGTGTTTGCATCAGGTGCTATCTATTTCATTTAGGTTTCCCCCCACCCTATATCTTAGCAAAGATGTGGAATAATTTTTAAGATTCTAGAGAAGATTGTTTCCTTAGTGATGCTTAAAATTTATTTTTCCCAAACAACCAGTGCATTTTTAAACATAGTTAAAACTTATTCAGTTGTTGAATCAACAAGTTGGTCAAATAAAGTTTATAATGGGAATTTTGAATCTTCATGTTGATGATCTTCCTTCATCCCCTGCCTGTCTAAAAGCAGAATAATATATTGAATATAAATACATTTTCTCTTGTATTGAAGTTCTGTATGATCATGATTACTCCTAGTTACAGAGGGAGCGCATAAATGATGTAGAAGTTTGGAAAAAGTGTATCAGATCCAGAAAAAGTCCTGACATTTTGGATTTTTAAAAATTTATATCCTTGTTGGATGTTTGCTACATGTTTCATTTTGTTTTTCTTCTAAAGAAAAACAATTCAAGTCATTGTTCTATACATTTGTTAAAAACTTGAAAGCATTATTTCACTGGGAGGTTAGAAAGCAGAGGAGGGGGGCAACTGAAGCGTATTTCATCTCATGTTGAATTCTAGGTTACAAAAGGATGGATCAGTTCACATAATGAAAGTCATAGGCTATGCATTAAAGATTTTAAAGAAAAAAAATGATTTTCCCTTTCTCACTCTCTTATTTGCTACAAGACAAATGACTCCTAAGTGATCATGTTGATAAATAAACTCCAAAATAATAAGATTTATCTGTGGCAAGTATGTCCTGCAGCTAGAACCCATGAAGTTTTTATTGCCTGTTCTGCCACAATCTGTTCTAATGTTAGCCTCCAAATTCCATGACAAGTTCATGTATAAATGGATATAAATGGTTGTCCAGATATACTGGAGGACTTTTATTAGAGATGGACATTTAACAGAATGACGAATGTTTCATCTGCAGATGGAAACTCATTAGTCAAACCAGTTATTGAGTTCTTACTTTAGAATTCTGTGGTTTTTTTCCTCTGTAATATTTATATTGTTTTCTATGTGAAAATAGACTTCTCTCTAACATATATGAGATAAGAATAGATCAGTGCTCTTAATTGGGCTTCTTTGGTTAACCGTTGAGATTTCACATCTCAATCCCAAATTCATGGCTTTAAAACTGGTGTTTTACGTTACCTCTTTATTTTGCTGGAGTAATGTATAGTGGTTAGCAGTTAGGTTTTTTTCTCCTCTTTTTTTTTAAAGAAAGCTTAATGTCCAAAAACAATACTACATAGACAATTTAATCTCATCTTCTATACATAAACTGAACATTGAAGCCCTCTACTGCTCCCACAATTTTTTTTTTAGTTGTATTGAATCAGAGAACCTCAGTCACCATCTTCAGATATTTTGACTTTCTGTAAACACACACACACACACACACACACACACACACACCTTCAATCCTCCCGCTTAATAAAGACTCTGTACAAGAAAAAAAAAATCAACTACTTATAGTTAAATTCAGGAAACCTTAATTATCTCCTATGTTCATTGACAGTAAAACCCAAAATGTGTGCAATGCTATATACCACAATTATTTCCCAGGTTTGATTGAAATAAGTAATTTGGGCAACTAACACCAATTTAGATAATTCTATACAAATTTAAAGACATGAGATGCAAAGCCATGACTGTATTCCAGCATGTTCTTCTTGTCAGAAACATTTAAATCACCATCTTACACAGTACATATTGAAACTCAAATTTAAGTGTTTTATTTTTATGTACATTTTGTTTTGTCCAGAAATAAAATATCTAAATACAGACAGTGTAATGTTGTATATGTATAGCTTTCAACAATACTTGAGCTGAATAAATGCTTTGTACATTGTTTGCCTTTTTAATGGAGTTCATAGCTACATTGATAAAATGGATTCCTCATATCCTTTTTTTTTCTTTTTTAACCAATAACAAGCAGAGAGACAAGTACAATTTAATATTAATAAGCAGCTCAAATAACACTTGGTTAAACTATGTACAATACAAACCATTCATACAAATGAAGACTAGGATATTGAATTTGTTACAATATGTGTAGTAAAGATAAGACAGACACTTATAACTTACATGGTGTCTGCCAGGCATTTCCCTTCTTATATAATGATCAGAACTGTTTTAAGCAGCCTTAGCTGGTCTCAACTTCGCAAATGTCCAATGATTGGCGATGAAAGCTGTAATCCCAACATCTGCCCACATGTAAATTCCTAATGTTTGCTCATCTTTACTGAAAACAGGCTCCTTCCATAGGAAAAAAAAAAAAAAAAAAAAAAGAGCCATCTTATATCACCTTGAATGTGCCTACCATACGCTGGAAAAAAGTTACTACACTTTGTTGTGTTCATAAAATAAAGAATACTGAGCTCTAAAGACACATTTTTCCATTTTAACAAGCATATACTCCTACAGTAGTATTTACCAGTACAGCTACTCCAAGCAGTAGGAATGCATGAGTGGGGATTATTGATTAGCATGGACTCGAGACTTTAAAAAGAGATTTCTGTAACAGTGAATGTTAGAAACATTTTCTGTCTAGTTGATCCTTTCGTTTGATGATAGTTTATCCTGAACCATTATGAGTCAGACAATGAAAGCCCTCTCAACCGATGACAGATGCAAGCTGAGATGTGCATGAGTGTGTGTTTGTGTACCTCTACATGTGAGGGTATGCCCTCAAGTATGACTTTAAAATCTGTGATGATTTACAACTATACTGAGAGATGAAGCTGACTGGGCAGAAATTACATCAGATTGTTTTCCACTAGCGTATTTGCAGCCAGTTGACAAGAGCAGCAGTGTAGACACATTCCAGGCAACAGATGTGACCTTCTTCTTTGAGGTAACAGCCCTGTCACATGACCTTTAATTCCTCAGGCTTCAGTCTCACCCTCTTGTTCATCCTCATCCAGAGGGAAAGTAAGGTGTGTCACTGTGGTAGTTGTAGTCGGGGCACACTTTCTGTACTAGTTTATAATCTGTACTATAAAAGGATATGTAAATACAGATCACCTTGAAGGGCTTGGAGCAGAGCCAGGACACATGACTTTGGGTCTGCTCCTGGTAACAGGTTTTGGAAGGGTCATAGTTGCAGAGTGTGTTCTTGGTAGCCTTGTCAACCTTTTCATATTCGATTCGACAGTTAAAGGACTTGGAATCTTTGGCATCAATCACGGTTTGTTGTGCCAAATCGAACTCCACAATTTTTGTAGGGGGCACCAGACTGACAGATACATTCCCTTGACCAGTGGAATTATGCCTGAAATAAACACTAAATGTCCCGTTTCCATGATCCACAATTTTCCCAGTAATCAATAGGTTCAGCTTCACTGTTTTGATGTTGGAATGAAAATCACCCCATCCAAACATTTTCTTAAACTTGCCCGTCTTAACAATGGGCCTTCTCTTGGCCCTGGGCCGAGGCTCTTGGAGGTCTGTGGAGTTCCTCAGCCAGTCCCAGAGGTCTTGTTCAGAATAAGGTTCTGGGGTGTCATATCGCAGGTCCAAATCTGTATCATTTTCTTTGCCACGAAAAGTCTGTGACAGGAGTCGGCTGATAGATAAGTCTTTGCTGCTTTCTGTCCATATGTGCTTCAGTGTGGATTTGCTGCTTCCCGACTTCAGAAGTTCTGACTTTCCACCATTCGTTAAGTTGGCACATGTGACCTAAAAACAGAACAGAAAATTGGCATTTATATCTCTGCATCTGAGATCACCTAACACACAGATCCAAGTCCTTTCTCAAAGCCTCAGAATTAAATGACACTTTTCTTTTTTAAAAGAGTCTTCAGTATCTGGCCAATATTTATTAAGATGTAACAAAGTGCCATTTCTATTTTTATATAATAGTAGAAGAGGAAAGGTGTGGGTGGATAAAATCCACTAAACATGACCTAGTAATCTGTATAAAAACATTGACTAGTGGAGGAAAAGATCATCTAGCATGAGAAAACCAAATTAAATTCAAACATACATCAAACTAAAGTAATTATTTCCAAACATCAAAATCCTAACACTTTAAAAATAAGTTTTATAAATCATTATGTTCTTTCTTTGCTTCAAAATTACCATAAACTTGAAAACAGGGATTCTCTTAAATATGTCAACTGACTCTCTAGATTTCCAATTGTCCATGCCATAGTTATATTTTAAAAATTAATTTTGCAAAGGAATTCTAGTATAACTGGCCAAAATAAAATAATATGTGTATTATCTTAAACATCTGGCATATCATATAAGACAATGTTTATCTTTTAAATTTGTTTTTAGTTGTAGATAGACATAATACCTTTATTTTATTTATTTATATGCAGTGCTAAGAATCAAACCCCAGTGCCTCACATATGCTAGGCAACCACTATACCACTGAGCCACATCCCAACCCCATAATGTTTTATCATAATGGACTTAAAACATAGTCTAGAAACAGCCATGTAAATTAAGACATCCAATATTCAATGGCTTAGAGATAATTGACAGAGAAGCAAAACAACACACAGTCAAAAGGTCAGTTCAGTTTAGATTGTGAGAGTTATATTAAAACATTGTTCTCCTAAAACCCCAGTCTTCACTCTTTCAGAAGAATTAATTACCCAACTAAACCAGAGATTCAGAGGAAACAGTGTCCCAATGGCTTCACTGGCCTAAAGTTGAAGCAGAGACTTGTAATCCTGACATAGAGGACTTAGGACAGAAATGAACACAGCCAAGGACCCAAAGGAGCCAAAACAGCCAATACAAGCAAACCATTTAAAATGCAGACTGACTGGTCTAGGTTAGGGATGCTGAAGGGAGTCTCCAGGTACCCATTAAAAAGACAAGTTTCACTATCAACCTCCATTTCCAGGCGCCTAAGAAACCTCTGCAAGCCTATCTCAGACATGATCCTTATTACCACTCCGCAGCCTCATTGGACTCTCTAGTATCCTTATAAACTGTTATCAAAGTAAAAGGTCATTCCTGAAGAGCATTTAAAAGTCAGACCCATTAGGAACTAGAGCTGCACTGTAGGGACCCCTCTATAGACTTAGCCATGCAGGTGTCTAGACTGGAAATGTCCTTTTATCAGCTACCAGAGTTGGAAGGAATCTATCCTAATCCCAGGGGAAGTAAGACCATGGACTGCAGGGCCAGACTTCCTAGGATTCCTAGATCTGAACTTACAAATTGTGCACCCGTATGATAAGTTCTTTAAACTCCCTTTGCCTCCATAAATTGTCTCTGTGAAGTGAAGGTAATAATGGTGTTGTTATGGTTTGGATGTGAGGTGTCACTCAAAAGGCCATGTGTGAGACAATGCAAGAAGATTTAGAGGACAGATGATTGAGTTATGAGAGCCTTAACCCAATTAGTGAGTTAATCCCCTGATAGGATTAACTGAGTGGTAACTAAAGGCAGGTAGGATTGTGGCTGGATGAGGTGGGTATTGAGGGGCATGCCTTTGGGGTACATATTTTGTGAAGTTTCTCTCTTCTTCCTGATTATCATGTGAGCCACTTCCCTCTGCCACTCTCTTGTGCCATAACATCCGGCCTCACCTCAAGCCCTGAGGAATGGAGCTGGCTGTCTCTGGACTTAGACCTCTGAAACTGTGAACCTTCAAATAACTTTTCCTCCTCTAAAATTTTTCTGGTTTGTCTTTTAGTCACAGCACTGAAAAAGATGACTAAAACAGGTGTCTCCCTCATAGGGTTGCCATGAGTTTGAAGGAGCAAAGATATGTGACACATTAAAATAGTGGTTATCACATGGGAAGGCCACAATAAACTTAACTATTACTATGAATCCCAAAGTGATGTTCAAAGACACTTAGAGAAAGACCACCAAATAGTATTTATGGAGATTTGACCTAAGAGTAGCTTTACCTGAGATTGTGAAGCCAAATGCTGCAACTTGGATGAAATGGGACATAGATGCAAAGGGTCTTAATAATCTAAAAGTCTCTTAGATCTTATCATCCTGCTTATTTACAAATGCCTTTGGATCAATGAGCTTTCACCGCATGCTAGTTTCTTCCTTGACCAGTTAATTCTGAGACAATGTGATACAGGACTATTGCCATCCAAAAAAGAATACCAGCCAAAGCTAGTCTATTCCCGACAATGCTGAGTTTAAGAAATCCTTCAAATTTATCCCAAGGCAAAATAATTGCATCTAAGATTAAATGAAGTTTTTATCATGAGTTTCTGTGCTATGTCTGCACACTAAAAACCCAAGATTGAAACATTGGATAGGCTAACACAAACCTCTCTCAAATACCTTGCTAGCCTTCCTGGTGTATCTGCTGTGTGATCCCCAAATCAACAGCAAGGCCTTCATGGAAGACAACAAGGCCATTGTGTGCAGAAGTTACCAAAAAAGAGACAAGCATAGACCAGTGGAGAATCACACCCTAATGATGGAATTGGGCTAAGAAAGAATGGATAAATTAAGGTGGAGATAGATAGGGTCATATCTAAGGGAAACACAGACCAGTCTTATGCACATGGTCACTCTTCAAAATTTTAAATTTATCACTACAAATATGAACCAACATTCTGGTATGGTGTCCAAGATATCTATCAAATGGGCTGCTTCAGATCTTGGGGAAAATGTTGGGAAGTGAGAAAAGACTATCCTTGCTGCCAACTTTCTTTTACTTGGTAATTCTCCTTCACTTCTGCTCACCCTTTACATTGGTATCTCTCCTCTTTCCCCAGCACCCAAACTGTTTCCTGCTTGCAGATTCTTGTCATGTCAAACATTATTCCAGAAATAGAGCATATTCAAGCAATAAATGCCTAATAATAGCAAAATGGTTGCTTTAGCAAAAATAATTTTTCAACTTTGACTGGACATTATGTCCTAAAGGGATAAAAATTGGAGGAGGATGTTCTTTGGGAGAGAAGGATTGTGTATAGGAATGTATAAGGAAAAAGCACGCAATTACCCTCCTTTCCTCTTTGCCTGATGACAAAGCCAGTCCACTATGAGGCAATTTTTACTATTTTATCAAAAGAGAAATCCATAGTAGATCCATAGATTAATATTATTTCATTAGAATTACAAAACTAATAGAAACAATTAAAATTTCCTACTAATTCCCTGAATGAAGTGCACTTCAAAATATACTATTTTTCTATAACACAGAGTAGCTGTAACATAAAATTTAAAATTAACATTAACTGATAAGTGTTGTACAAATCTTTTAGGTTTGAAGGTTTTAGTGTGATGTTTGTGTATGTGTGTGTTTGTGTGTGTGATTCATTTTGTTTTAATAAAATTTGATTGGTTAAACAACCAGATCTGTAATTGCCTAATTATATGATATTGTCCTTATTACAATCCCTATATTTATGCTTTAATATAAAAATGCTTATTTTCTGATTTTTCCTTAGAATTAGGTAGTTTCCCACAGGCAAGGACAAGTGCAGATATGTGTGGGTAGCAGCTTAGGACTTACACCTCAGCAGCTGCACAGAGCTGTAACAAAGTGCTTCTGTAATGCTCTAGCTAACAAACCAGGACTGAAATTGCCTCAAAGAAGGAAAGGAGAAGATTTTAGAATGTGAGTTATTAGCAGAATGTAGGGAATGAAAGGGAAAAATTATGAGACATGGGAGTTACAATCTCAAGGAGGAAGAGTCACTCTATTCAAAAGGATGCTACAACTCAGACAAGCAATGCAGCCTCTGATTTCTGGCAGAATCCTAGTCGTTTGGTTCTGAGTTTCCTCTCGCAGCTGTAGAGATTGTGAGTGTGGCTCTGTAGTTATACTGTTTCAACCTCAGACCAGACTCAGATCCTTTGGAGCTGTGTGCTGTGCACAAGTCACCTGACTTATTTAAATGTTTGATTTCTCTTCTGCAGTCTAGGAGAACACCCACCTCACCCCCTCCAGAGGGTAGCGTGAGGATTAAATAGGACACTTCAACTTAAAGCAATCAGAACAGGCCTGGCATGTGGGGAATGCTCAACATTAGAATCACTAGCTGTTGTCATTACATGTTTTTAGAAACTCTGGGATAAATACCTTATGTATGTGAATAACTTATGATAGCATTTGAGAGTATAAAGGACTGATAAGAAAATTTCTCTTTAACTTAACCATAAACATAAGGCAAACAAAAAATAAATCATACCAAGGGTTGAGGAGGGGAAAATAGGACGTAAACAATGTAAAGTTTCAGTTAAGCAAGAATTCTAGAGATATGCTGTTCAACATTGTATCTGTAGCCAGCAATGCTGTATTGTACACTTGGAAACTTAAGAGGGTAGATCTAGTAAGTGTTCTTGCTAAAGTAAAACACATTTAAATAAAATTTTTAAAAATTTTCTTACTTAAGCCATAAACATATATTGAACCCTAATCAAATGTGTACTGAGATGTGGTGGCGGGGGGAGCTTATAATTTTAAAGGGCTGCTGTGACAACCTAACAAATATGGCAGGTTGAATAGGTAGCAAAGCTCCAGTTAACAAAGGATGGGCATAAGTTCAACTGTGAAACAGCTCAGCTACCAAACACAATGCATGCGTTTGCCCTCAATGGGGCGACATGAAAAGCAGCGAGCAGTGCTGAGTGTCAAGAGGGCTCTGAACATCTGCTTGAGTACAGAATCAAAGTGGGTCTCAGCTATAATTACCAGCACAATCTTGAATATTCTTATTCTCTCTTCCCTTTGCTTT